GGAACCTTTCACAAATTTTAAATGTCATATTTTACTTTGATTCTACTGTGACAGTGTTTTCATTTTAATTGTGTCTATAAGTTATTGTGTTTATATTTATGTATGTATGTATTTATAAGTAATTTTGTCCATAGTACCTGTATGTTCTGCTTTACAGATAACTTGGCAAGATGTCATCACGTTGCCAACACTGTGGGTGTGGGGACATCGACATCGACCCAGCTCGGGGAGATGCTGTGTGTACCTCATGTGGTACAGTTCTATCGGAACATAACATTGTCAGTGAAGTTCAGTTTCTGGAGAATTCTCATGGTGGAAGTTCAGCTGTGGGCCAGTTTGTGTCCTCAGATGCAGGCGGTAAGCGGCCTATGTTTAGGGGCTATAATGGAACCTTTGCCAGAGAAAGTAAGGAAATTACACTCAATAATGCGCGAAAAAGGATTAATGCCCTGGCCCAGCAGCTACGCCTCAGCCAACACAGTATTGAAACATCATTTAATTTTTTCAAGTTAGGGCTGAGTAAAGGGCTTATGCGTGGAAGGAAAAATAACCACGTGATTGGTGCTTGTGTGTACATCACTTGCCGGACAGAACAGACTCCGCACATGTTAATTGACGTGAGTGATGCCCTCCAAATCGATGTGTACGAGTTGGGACGGACATACCTGCGGCTGTCAACAGCTCTGTGCATAAACATTCCAGCCATGGATCCTTGCTTGTATATTTGGAGATTTGCTCACAAGTTGTCCTTTGGTGACAAGACACATGAGGTCTCAGAAACGGCCTTACGTTTGGTTAAAAGGATGAAGAGGGACTGGATGCATACCGGCAGGAGACCATCTGGGGTGTGTGGTGCGGCCCTAGTCATCTCTGCCAGGTTGCATGGCTACAACCGCACTATCAATGACGTCATTAAAGTGGTCAAGGTGCATGAATCAACCTTGCGCAAGCGTTTAACAGAGTTTGGAGAGACACCCTCCAGTGCCCTGACCCCAGAGGAATTCATGACCATGGACCTGGATGAGGAGCAGGACCCACCCGCCTTCAGGGCTGCCAGGAAGCGGGAGAAGGAGCGTGTGCAGAAGCTCCTTGATGAGCAGGAGGACCTGGACAGTGAGTTGACTGTGTTACAGCAGGAGATTGAGAAACACCTTGAGGAACGGAAACGGAAGCTAAGAGGAATATGGGCAAAATATGACAGGGAGGAGGAAACGACTGAGGAGGAGAGTGTAGAACAGGAGAGCGCTGATACACAGAAATTTATCACTGAAGCAACCTTACAGACCATAGATGAATGCTTAGGCGAGAATGGTGATGAAGCTATAAAACCGGAATTAAAAGTGCAGGGGATAGGTCCCTCTGCAGCTAGTTTGGGTCTGAAGGAAACAATAGAGGAATGCATGGAGATTCGCCCAAATGACCCAGAGCCAGAGGACCGTGGAGTGCTGGACCTCTCAGGCATTGATGAAGATGAAATTGACTCGTACATCATGTCTGATCGAGAGATCAAGCTGAAGACAGAACTGTGGATGAAGATCAACAAGGACTACTTGGAAGAATTGAAGCTCAAGGAGGAGAGGGAGAAGAAGGAGGCAGAGGAGAGAGAGAAGGAAGGCAAACCTCCAAAGAAGAAGAAGAACTACACCAAAAAGTCCAAGAGCAATGCTCCAGCAAACACTGCAGGGGAGGCCATTGAAAAGATGCTCATGGAGAAGAAGCTGTCCAACAAGATCAACTATGATGTCCTGCGGAGCCTGAAGGGTGAGGACACAGGAGGGGGGGAAGAGGATATCAAGGAGGAGAAGCCCAGCCCCAAAACCCTCAAGACCATACCAGTCGAGACACCTGAAGGCATTTCGTCTGTGCTCCACTCATTGACTGGGAAGAGACCCAGGAACAGCATCAAGGAGGAGGGAGAGAAGTCACCCAAGAAGATAAAGGGAGAGACAACTGATGCAGCCAACACCTCTCTAGGCCCCAAGGTGGAAGATGCTGAAGAAGAGGAAGAAGAGGAGGAAGAGGATTGCGAAGAAGAGGAAGCTGAGGATGAGGAAGAGGATGAGGGCAGCCTATCCACAGCCCAGCTCCTCAGGAGACGAAGGGGAGAGGACAACTCCTATGATGATTACTATGATGACTATTATGATTAACAGAAAGAGTTTGATGGACATAGTCTTTTAATTTATTTCCTTTTCTATTTTCATGAGAAGTCTGAGCATTTTTTTCTTTAATGTCATTTGAGTGAACTGATTTTATTACCTAGCAGTGGACCACATATACAAGTCATTAACTTGCAGGCATTGAAGTTCAAGTACAAATAATATATATAAGTGAATTAGTCCTTCAGGATTTGAATCCTTGAGGATAAAGAAAGGAAAAAACATATTCAGTGAAAAAGTGAATGGAAATATCATCTTTATTATGTTTTATATGTAGCTTTTATCAATAATTATAATAGTGAAAAGAAGAAACTTACACTTCAGTTATATTGGTGTGCTGT